TATATATATATCTCGTCAGCCAGTTAAAATGTACTAGTCCAAAATGTTGATTTATTTTTCATTTTTTAAATTATTTCTTAGATTATTAATTAATAAAATGTAGTTGGATTTTTTAAAGCGGGCAAACGAAAGTGAACAAGCTATAGCCCTCACTCCCCAACAAATTCAAAGCTGGGGCATGTTATTTACATTTGCCTATAGTGCGGTCAAAAATTCGTGGCGCAACTTATTGTCAAATATTTCCTAAACTGTCGAAAGACTCTCCAACTTTTGCACAATGGCTTGCATCAATTTGTCTTTAAAAATCAATATTTTTGTAAACATCTATTAGCTGTATTTTTGAAAATTCTATACTAGTAAAAAAAATTTAAAAATCCAAGTGGGTGGTTTCTACAGAAAAGTTTACAGCCGGGACAATATCGTTTTTAAAAGCAAGTCCGTCTTTTTTTCTTCTAATAGTGACACTAATTGAAAGCATGTTTTGAGAACCTTTAGTGAAAAAAAATACATCTATGTATTCACTATGAAATTGAAAACTTGTAACAAGTTTCGCTAATAAAAAGTGTCATTGGTGAGCTGTAACGTAGGTCATATGCGTTTGCAAAATGTGTGTAAGAAGCGGGAAGTGGTGTGAAAAATCCCATTGTCTGAGAAACGGAAATTAATTATTATAGATATCTAGTATTTTATACTAATTTATGAAGAAAGGTTTTTTTAATCTAGCCCCAATTGTTGTGAAAAAATATGATTAAGTTATTAAATCAAATTGATACAAGCTGTTGAGCATAGTATGGATGGCATTGATTCACCTGTTAAAGAGATATTGAAGATAAGTTTTTAACCCCACGATAGGTTCCTATCGAATCTACAAGGTAAAACATGCACGTTCTGAGGGGTAAGAAAAAAAAATTACTTGAAAATAAAAAGAGCAGCTCTTCAACGATGACATTTTGATCCAGATACAAGACATAAGGCCACTTCGTCACATTCTGTTGATAGATTATTATTAGCATGTTCATGAAAATCTAGGTGTTTGCTTACTCAGGAGTGGAAACAAATTGCACAATAGTCAGACTAAACTAGGGATTTATATATTTTTTGTTATTATTCACCCACTTTTGGAATATAAAATACTCAAAGTGAATCCGCAAAAAGTAACTTAATTACATCCGTTCAGTTTGTGCTTCGGGCTTCATCTTCTGAAACTGATGCCTCAAATAGATCATCAATGAATGCTGAATACGTCCAATCACCTCTTGTAATTTTCCACAACGAAATGTGTATGTCGTCTCAAAAGACATTATCTAAAATCAGGATGATCTCATTACACGCATGCAAGCAGAAGGACGTGTGGAACAGAATTTTTTTTATACGGGTGGAGGTGGGAGGTTGAAGGGTAGAACAACTAGTTAATTATGAATTATGAGTCGTGTCGTGTGTGTACTGGTTTGGTCTGGGGG